GTTAAAAAGTTCCTGAATCTGATGGCAGGGTTCTGTTGTATCTGATTTCTTTGGGGTTCTCAGTTTGAGAGAACGGGCACTGCCATTGTGGTGGATGCTTGGTTTCAGGCCTGTGACGTGCCGCTCCTGTCAGCTGATGGTGACTGGCTGAGGTTACAGGCAGTCCCCAGGCTGCCTTTACTGCGTGATTTGGAATTTTCAGCTCATATTTATTGCTTTTGTCAAAGACAATAGACGCGGTTTAATTTAAGTTCAACCTACTGAATATTAATAGAGGAGAACAAATGCTAATGTGGGGAGACTGAATCCTTGGGCCATTCAGTTTCCTCTATTTAACCTCCTCTCCCCAACAAAGGTTTGTGTAGGCTGGGGGAGGGGTTTGGGAAAATAAAATCAATTTGTGTTTGAAGGAGGAGGGGATGCGTTTTCATCGTTTCTCATTTACTAACAATAATAATTTAAAAAATTGTTGGCAGGGCTTTGTTAGGGGGAGGAAAAGGCAGCACCTATTAGCTCGTCTAATATTATAACGATGGGTATTCTGCCCTGTGGCATCATATCCCATCTTGCTGACCTGGCTCTTTTGGATTGGACAGGCAGTAGGATTTGGATGAAAACATTCAAAATGAAAGGGGGTAGTCAGTATACTGGAGATGTTAAAAGGGTGTGTGTGTGTGTGTGTGTGTGTGTCTGTCTGTCTGTCTGTGTATAGGTGTGTACAAAAGAAAAAGCCCAGGTTTATCCAACCATGTAGACTAAAAATAAATGTGACTGTTCTTTGTGCTGACATAACACAGGATGGTATGTCAAATTGAAAAAGTCATTCATATGCAGAACTAGTCAGTCTCTCCCCATCCACCCCTCCTCCTATAAAAGCTCAGAAAAGCAAAGGTCCTTCAATTTGCATAACAGGCAATCAATTTCCTGGCTTAGGCCCCATTTTCCTATTCTGGAAAGTCAGTCCACAAGCTACCTCTCTTGTACTTGAGGTAATCAGTCATTGTTAATCCTTGGAATGGGGAAAATTTTGGAGCTCTTTGAAGAGATTAGCCTGGTAAGGGCTTCAGAACAATGGACCCACTACTTTTTTTTCTTTTAATGTAGCCCAGTCTTGCCTTAGTATTTCAGATCATCCTCATCTGTTTGCCTCACAATGAGCTCACATGCAGTCCATTAAAATTCCCCATTTTTCATAAAAAATATTACAGTCCAGTTTCCCTGCATTTGTGCTTGGACATTTGATTTTTTTGAAGGGAAGAAACATAATATGCCTTTTTACACTGAAGACTCTTGGATATGAACACCTTACCCAGCCTGTTACTTATTAAAAGTCTGTATTTGTCATTAGCTGACTCTTATAGCTCTGTGATAGGTTTTGTAAGCAATCTTTTTTTCACTTCACAAATTAGTGATAAAAGGTGGCAGAATGCCCATACAGAACTTTGGAACTGGGTGCCTCACTGTGTGAGAAATGGCTCACCTGTCCAAATTTCAAATGATGGACTAGGAAACAGAAGCATGGCAAAAATGAGACTTTTAATAACACTCTTGAGTGTGCACCCATTTTACAGGATCACAAGTGGGGCAAGGAACATAGCCTATTATTTAGACCCCCCTCCAGTTCCTCATTGGCTGAGGACTATTTGGTCACCTGTTTCCTAATAGGTCGCCTAGGTCTTGCTGTCTCCCATTGGGTTATTTAAAAAAATGCTCTGGGGCCTTCTCTAGTTGCCTCTGCCTCCCCCTTTGTCTCTAGGCCCTAGGAATCTTCCTAGGACTATCAGCCACATTAATAACTCTCATCCTCTCTCCCACCCCCACATTCTGTTTGCTCTGGGGAAATTCTGCAGCAGCCTGGCCACATGCTGTTTCTTTTCCATGAAGGTAAATCAGAGGCATGTTTCTTACAACTGTGAGTTGTATGGTCATAGTTTGTGCAGTATAATTGGTTTCCTGGGACTTAATTCACACTTGCCTAGAGCTTTATAGTATTTTAAGGCAACCAGGTCTCTTACGGGTTTGAACCTTGTTTTCTCCTACAATAGTGGTTCTCAAAAGGTAGTTCCTGGACCAGCCAAAGCAACATCAGCGCCAGCTGGGAATTTGTTAGAATAGCATAACTGGGGTTGAGGCCTAGGGGACTGTTTGACAAAGCTCTCCAGATGATTTTTACTCTTGCTCAAGTTTGAGAATCATTACTACTGTCTACAATCTACTGAGATTATTCTTGTTAGAAGGACAAGTGTATAGCTCTGCTAAATCATTCACTCATTTGCTGCTTCCTCACTCAGCAAATACTTAAGGTCTAAGGGTAAGGCAGCATTTCTTCCCCACATTCACCTAGCAGCGTCTAGTTCTTCCTTATTTCCCCCTTGATCCAAATATATTTTCAAAACCACTCGTCCCTCCCTCCTTCCCTCTCCCCTTTCCTCCCTCCCTCTCCTCTCTCTCCTTTCTTTCTTTTCCCTGATGCATAAAACAGCACCAGAGGCATGGATGAATAGAATGGACACATAGATCTCCAAGGGGAGGAAGGTGGAGGGGACTGGAAGAAATTAACCAGAGAACATGTACGCATAGCCATGGACATAGATAATATTGTTGTGAAGGCCTGGTGGGGGGCGGACTGTGGAGGTTGAGTGGAGGGGGCAAAGGGGAGGGAAAATGGGCGACATCTGTAATAGTGTGAACAATAAAAAGACAGAAAATTGAGATTCAAAAAACAAACAAAAAACAACAAAACACCACACACACACACACACACACACACACATAGAAAATTGAGATTCAAAAAACAACAAAACACCACATACACACACACAAAACACATCACTTCTTTTTACTCCTCCTTCACCACCACTGTCACACTGGTTTCTGTTTTGTTTTTAGGCATATTGCAAATTCCAGCTTTGCTCTTCTTATGCTGGTATTTATTGCAGGTATTTATTGCAAGCTTGCTTGCTGGCCCCACTGATTCATATTCATTGCCCTCCCCTATCACTTTTTTTTGCCCTATAAGTGCAAAGTTTCTTCTTTGCACATACTACTAACTGGTACAACCATGTATACTTGTCCATCTATCTCCTCTCATTGGAATTTAGATTTTGCTTGGGATGCCTGTATCCCTGGCATATATGGGGGGTGTTAAGGAAATGAATGGATGAATATATATTCCCTCCCTTCTTTCCTGCTTTATTCTTCTTTATGTACTATTGAAAAAATTGGAACTCAACCAAGAGTACACATATTTAGATGCATATCTGCTTTTTTTCTTATTAATTTTACATATGGTGCTATAACTAGAATTTTTACTATGAATTTTTCATACTTTTCAAGTGTGGCAATTCATTCATCTTGTCTTTTTTTTTTTTTTTTTTACATATGCGACATATTATGTCCCTGGCCAGTTTCCTAAGTCAGTTATCTGTATCTTCCTACTGTTTGGGTGGGCTGTTTGGGTGGGCTGGCATCCCTCCTACCCACAATGTGATGTTACTAAAGTGCTCTCATTTAGTGTTGATATATAAAGGCGTAATGTCAACCCACATATGTAGTTTTAGTTTTCTAGAGCTACATTAAATTTTTTTTTAAAAAGCAGGTAAGATTAATTTTAGTATATTTGACATAATATATGCAAAATATGTCCAGAATTAATATGACATTATTAATCAAATGCTAGTTACACTGTTTTAAATTAATAATGAAAATGTATTTCCTCATCCATGCTAGCCATGTTTCATATGCTCAGTAGTGGCCATTGTAATGGCCACTACTCTAATCTTTGAAACACCAGCCACAGTTCTACCCTTAGATTCATAGATTTATATACAGTTATGTCCCTTTTTTTGCCTCAGTGCAAACTCCCCACATTTCTCTTTCTTTGGGAAGTTGTATACATTTTCATTTCCATATTGTATTCATGACTCCCAAAGCCACATGTCTCAGTAACAGCCACAGGATTGTATTTACTGCACTGAATTAGATTTCCAACCTCATGTTATTACAGATAACTCTGAAATGATGTAAAAGTAGATAACTGAAGAAATGCATGCAAAAACAGGTCAAGCCCCAGGGCTTTGTTGCAGTGTACAATGTTCTTTCAGAAAATTTTAACCAATATATAGGATACTGTAATCTACATAGTGCAGTGATGGCGAACCTATGACACATTTTTTTGGTTGATTTTTCTTTGTTAAATGGCATTTAAATATATAAAATAAATATCAGAAATATAAGTCTTTGTTTTACTATGGTTGCAAATATCAAAAAATTTCTATATGTGACACGGCACCAGAGTTAAGTTAGGGTTTTTCAAAATGCTGACACGCTGAGCTCAAAAGGTTCGACATCACTGATACAGTGTTTAGTGCAAATAACAGAAACCACTCTTTCAACCAGAAAGGGATCTAATACAGTGAATTAAGTGCATACCAAATTGGTGGAACATTTAGAAGAACCAAAATCAAGGGGTCACCCAGCACATTTGGCTTCGTTTAAAAGACAAGTACCATGACTATATTACAGATACTGTGCTAGCATTCCTGCTGATGCCCCTGAGGCTGGTGACTAGACTGTGAAATTGGGGGTCAGTCGCTGTGGACATTTTTGTTGGTACAAGCTTCCCCATGGGTAGAATAAGTTGTATCAAGAACCTTAGATGCAAGGACATCTGAATGCTAGAATACCCATCAGGCTTTTATTCAACTGTCACTCATTAATGTGGCCTTACTGCTTGCTAAATACTTCCATATTACCTGGCATAACCCTTCCCTAGGAACTTTCTCCAGTATAGTTACACATGCTGGGCCTCCATGACTCCCTCTTCTACATGGTGCTATAAATGTAGTCATAGATAGTCCTGATCCTTTAAGACAGTGGAAGGCAAATACCGTGACTGTCTAATATAATGGATTGCTATGAAGAGGAAGTTGGGTAGTAGGATTTCTAGTTAATAACTAAGATATGGCTAAAAAGTAATGACATTTTTTCTTATATGGCAGGTACTAGTCCCTGAAGGGAAATCCAAAAAGGACATCAGTATTTCTAGAGTAAATATTTAGCCCTTGAAGATTAACTAGTTTGAATTGGTAATACTTCAGATGCCTTTCTTCTCTTCCACCCCCAGCCCAAAAAATATTTATGTACTTAAAAAAGAACCCTTCAGTATATTATTATAATTAAAATTTTCTGCTTGAATTTTTTTTACTATTACAATTGTTTATTTCTTAGGCATTCACTCCTGTAAAAGGTTCAAAGTAGATGAGGTATGATTTTTTTTCCCCATTCAAAAGAGATATGTGCCTTTAAATTCTTTTCTATCCATCACAAGTCATTGTGTAGGGTTAACTGTGGTAAAGTGCTGCTTCCTGATGTCATGTGTTTAAGTGTTTGTCCCCTTTTCTCACCTGTAGGGCTCCTTGGTAATGGCCAGTCTAAGGGATTAGGACCAGCATCAGAACAGTCAGAGAATGAGAAGGATGATGCATCCCAAGTGTCCTCTACTAGCAACGATGTTAGTTCTTCAGATTTTGAAGAAGGGCCGTCGAGGAAAAGGTTAGTACCCAAGGCTGAAAGTATTGGTGCCTTAAATCAGGGACTGCAAACTAGGTGCCAGTTTTTGCCACATGGAAACAAACTTGGGCCCATTCATGCAATCTCCTGATTTTTCATAGAGGAGTCAGAGTTCTGAATTTTTATATTAAATGTCCTGGTTTCAAAATATGGTCCACTAATTATATCTAAAAATAAATACACAGAAAAATGGTATGGGCCAAATAAAACATGTTATTGTCATAAAAATTGGCCAGAGTCACCAATGTGTAATTCTTGTATTCACATAAAAAATATATTTATTTTTATTGATTTTAGAGAGGAAGGGAGAGAGAGAGAGGGATAGAAACATCAATGATGAGAGAGAATCACTGATTAGCTGCCTTCTGCACACCCCCTACTGGGGATCAAGCCCACAACCCACGCATGACCCCTGATGGGGAATCAAACCGTGACCTCCTGGTTCATAGGTCGATGCTCAACCACTGAGCCATGCCAGCCAGACCTGTCTTGTGTTCATTTTAATAGATTTTTATCAGTAGTATTTCTTGAGTATATTAGATGGTATTTTGCCATTCCTGTACAGAAATGTTTCTAAGAATTTGAAGAATTAAATGTGTGTCTGAAAATTTCCCCCCCTCATCTGGAAAGCAAAATCCATATGATGTTTAATCAGGTTAGTAGTTGTGGAATAGGTTCTTAAACTTTGAGTTTACTAGCAGTTTTCTTTTCTTTTTTTTTTTAATTACTTTTAAAAATAAACTTAAGATGGTTGGATAAGGAAGTTAGCTGTGTAGCTAAGAGTTTGTGGTTTCATGGTCAAACAATGGCAGTTACATTATATAATGACTAGAGGCCCAATGCATGAAGATTTGTGCAAGAATGGGCCTTCTTTCCCCTGGCTGCTGGCACTGCCTTCGCTCTGGCCAGAGCCGCCTTTCCAGCTTCATTCAGGCCCAGAGCCACCTTTCCACCTTCCCATGCTGCCGAGAGGCCCGGAGTGGCTGGGGCAGTGCGGAACGCCTGCGTTGTTGCCATGGTGATGATGCAAGGTCCCACCCCACCCCCAGCCACTTGGCGCCTGTGTATGCAAATTAACCCATCATCTTTGTTGGGTTAATTTGCATACTCATTCCTGATTGGCTGGTGGGCGTCACAAAGGTATGGTCATTTTGCATCTGTCTCTTTTATTAGTGTAGATATTGTAACTAGTGGCCCGGTGCACGAATTTGTGCATGGGTGAGGTCTGGCCAGCCTGCCCTGATTGGGGCTGATCGGGCAGGGCCAGTTGGGAGAGGGGAGGTTTGGCCGGGGGGAGGGGCCATGGGCAGTTGGTGGGCCAGCCCCGCCCCCTGGTCGAACTCCCGGTAGAATGGACAATTTGCATATTAGCCTTTTATTATATAGGATTATTAATTTACCCATTTTTCTCTCTTGCTAACCTGTGATTAATCAAATGCAATGTATTGCTCACCATTTACCCTAGTCTTGAAAGAATATCTGATATGCAAAATAGATTAAAAGGTGTTTTCTGAATAAATGTATGGAAATGGCTGAATTCACCAGTATTCAGTTCTCTTCTCCTTCCTGAGTAAAAAGCAAAGCTACATTTCTGAGCTTTCTTGCTTCTAGATGAACCATGTAACTGAGTTCTGGTCAATGAAATGATACGTGCCACTTTTCGACTGGCCCTAAACTTACTGAGTGATCTTCTGTGAGCCTTCTCTTTGCCTCCCATCCCACTGGCTGGAAGATGGCAGCATCTTAGAATAGAAAGAGCCCAGATCCCTGCGTCACTACTTGGAAAAGAGGGATCTGGACTTTTAAAATTGTGTCAGGCTTCTGAAATCTGAACCTGGTCATTATAGCAGCTAGTGTACTTACCTGGCTAATAAAACAAGGATCTGGGCACAACAGACATTTTTTCAGTTGACATCAGGGTATCATATGACTCAGTCTGCTGGCAAAGGCTCTCAGTTCAGAACAGCATATTGACCCAGCCCATAAGAGAGGCAGAAATGTACAGAAAACTGAAAACCCAGACACATTGGTGATACTAGGAGAGAAGCATCCAGCCTGCCCACTTTCTTCTCAGTATGAAGCCAGTTCCCACTTAGAAGCCTATTTTGGGGTCAAATGTGGATTTCCCTAAACTTCTGGTTACCTCTCCTTCCTTTTTCCCAGTGGGAGCAGCCATTGAGTATGATTCTCCTCTTCCTGGTAAGTTACTTAGAGAAAAAGCTGACTTTCCTTTTGCTACACAAAGCATCATCCTGAGAAACAATTACAGTTCCTTTTAGAGCTTTGGTTCCTTCATAGGTACCTATTGTCCTCATAAATGGAACTGCTCGGAACACAAAAGCATTTATTTCCTCTTTTAGCTAATTTAATTTTTACAGCTCTGGTGAGAAAATATTTTATGTTTTACTCGACTAATGTGATTTTAAGGTAGTTTATTCTTGGATTCAATTTTGTTTTCATTTTCTAGAAAATCAATTTAATTCACAGAAGGATCATTCATTTAATGGCTTTTCTTGCACATGGTTAATGCTTAAGCATAAGATCAGATATTCTTCTTAACAATATCTTCACAAGGCTTAACTGGAGAAGGTGTTAGATGGGGAAATCCTCTACATTTGGCAAAGCCTCTTTCATCTGGACTGACTGATGTAGAAAATCAGTCTGAATTGGTGAAGTTGAATTGCAGACTATTTTTCAGAGAGATTCCTGTATAATTTCAAGTTGCTCAAACTAAATTTATGAGCATGTAGGCTAACAAAGGGTTTTGGGTTATCTCCATCTAGCTTTCTAGTACTTGGCATGCATATCTTTATCTTAAGAAATTCTTTTGGGTTCCTGAAAACTCTTTGACCGTAAGTCCTTTAAACATTCTCCTGCCTCAACATATTAAAGGACGTATATGACAAACACATAGCCAACATCATACTGAAGGGGCAAAAACTGAAAGCATTTCCCTTACGATCAGGAACAAGACAGGGATGTATGCTTTCACCACTCTTACTTAACATAATACTGGAAGTTTTAGTCAGAGCAATCAGACAAGAAGGAGAAATAAAAGGCACTCAGCTTAGAAAGGAAGAAGTAAAACTCATTATTTGCAGAAGACATGAAACTGTATATAGAAAACCCTAAAGAATCCACAAAAAAACTACTAAATCTGATAAGTTAATTCAGTAAAGTAGGGTACAAAATTAATCTTCAGAAATCAGTGGCATTTTTATACACCAATAACGAACTATCAGAAAGAGAAACTAAGAAAACATTTCCATTTACAATTGCAACAACAACAACAACAAAAAAGGAAAAAATAAGGTATAAAGGAATAAATTTAACCAAGGAAGTAAAAGACTTGCACTAAAAAAATTATAAGATACTGAAGAAAGAAATGGAGGAAGATAGAAATAAGTAGAAATATGTACTGTGTTCATGGATAGGAAAAATTAACATCATTAAAATGTCCATGCTAC